GCATGACTTTCTTGTTTTCGTCTAGGGTTTGCTTGTCCAGCTCCAAGGCAAACCAATAGTAAACACCCTTGAAGTAGATTTGGGAAGAAGAAGAAGACCAAACCACAGTGCTTGGTATATCAGTCTTGATCTCTCTCCAAGAGTTAGAGCTCATGGTATATACCTCTGCCATGTGAGGGAAGAACAAGATCCAAAACCCCTCAAAATGCATTACGATTCGAACAACTTTGTAAACCCTGGCTCTGCTGTCGTAGCCAAATCCCACAGCTACCCCTGTCGACTGCAATCTGTTCAGGGTTTTCGGGGGAGGTTGAGGTAGACGAAGGCATGACTTGGGAAGAAGCTTGAGTTGCTTTAGAGCTGGGTTGCATAGAAAAACCTTCTCAGAGAAATCAGTTAGACATATAATCCCATGGCAATGGCCTGCAATGTCCAAACATTCGTGCCTTAGCCCTACAGAAAGTGGAGGAACATTATTAAGGTTGAGGTCTCGGATAGAATTAGATTGAATTTGAACATCATCGTTGTCATTGCTAAGATCAACAAGTGACAACAAAATATGATTTGCTTCATCGTTGAGGACACAACGCTTGAAAAGGACACAAGTTGAGGTCTTGGATGAACATCTGTTGTCTATGGATTTGGAGAGGTGGACATCCGCAAAGTTGGGGTCATTGATGAAATTGTACCACGATTTATGAACGCATCTGAATCGCATCAGAGATTTCGGAGTCAGCCTTGACAAGATCTGCATCACCATTTCTTCTGGCATTTTGCAAAACTCTGCCAATTTCTGGCAGAAGCGACAACGTACAATGAATCATACAAAAGAAGATTCAAAGAAATTAATGAAAAGAGAGAACCTTTTTGTTTCTAATTGAGAGAGTTGTGTTTTCTTTCAGTGATGTGAAATGTAGGCAAATTGATTGTAGTGTGGAAGTCAGCTGGTTTGTAGTTTTTGAAATTATATTTGCGGAAAAATAACACTATATAAAGTAATTTGAGAGAAAGAAACGTGATTTGCTTTGGGTTGAACGCGAAGAAAGGAACGATATGCTTATGTATATATTTTTTTCAAACAGAAATTATTTAATTTTTTATTGTCTTTTTTGAACAAATATAATTCAACTGTCAAATTAACCTGCTTCAGTAGGTTCTTTTGTAAGAACATAATGATCCAACCCAAGTGAAAATAAGAAGAAGAAAAAATTTATTAACTATTGAATCAAATTGAGTTTTATTAAAATTTATCGGTTTCAAACCAACGAGGTGAAGTCAAATTATTATAAACTTCCGTTTAAACTTAAAACAAAAAGAAAATTTTAAACCAAAACCTCAATTCATTTATGATGAAAATCAAAATTTTAATTTACATAGGCCTCTCACTCTCCTTGAGTGTTATGTTAGAACTAATTCCATTGTGGTAATACATTGGCCTCCAAATATTGTTTCCATGCTTTCAAGGGACCAACCCCTCTACCACTTGGAGTTGTTTCACGAGCTCTACGGTTCATAAATAAACCTCTGGCTGCAAAACCCATCAAGTCAGGATGGTCCATAAAACTACGCATCCGCGATGCAATGCCACCTTCACGAGAGAAACCCATTCTGAAACGCCGATCGGTATCGGTAGACCCGGGCTCTTGTGTATAGGTAGAAACTAGTTGGACCTGAGTTTCAGGCACCAGTGAACCATCATCTTCGGTAGATACTAAGTTCCCCATTCCAAATGATTCCCAATCAACCTGCTGCAAAATGACTGCAGCTCGCTCTGTGTTCTGTGCAGGAAGATTTTGGGGCCGAGTCACTTGAGCCAATTTGTCCACCTGAACTTTCAGTTCACGCAGTCTATGTCCAATCCTTGAAGACACTGCATCGTACAACTTTCCTCTTGATACATGCTTAGCTCCTTCAGAATTTAACAGATCGTCAAAGTAGATTGGATCTCCAATAACCACCGTCACCTACATTTTCCAAAAGACTGGATAAAAAGGCCTATCCCCTCACTCATATGATTGCAAAAGTCTTAAACGAATATCTGACTGGAAAGATAACACCATCACCATATCAAAAGGACACTGAGTTGCGAAAAACTGAACATCTATTGAGAATAGCAAGCATTAGACTACCTACCGTCTTGCCAATCCTTGGAATGCTGGCACCAATAGGCATGATGTCCTGCATCCCACTATGCACAAATGGAACAACCATAGGAATATTGTCAGCATCAAGTACCAACCTGCCAAGTAAGAATATGCAACAGTCATCAAATAGTGTTCCAAAGAAAAGAGCACTGCATCCAAATGCAGCTGCAACCAATGTGAACAAATGTTACTATTCAAAAGGAAGACACATCTCTTTACAATGAAGCTCACAGCACAAAGACCAAAGCTTGGGAGCCAACCCCCAAAAAAATCATTTAAAAAACCCCTACGAATCCAAGAAAAGGGGAATCTCTCTTTGCAACACACTTTCACAACAAGATCCTCACCTCCCAACACCTCTCTTGGAAGAACCCATGGTTTTGCCACCATCTCGAGAACGACTACCTTCTGGGAAGATGTGCACCCAACCACCTTGATTCAGTTTCGAAATAGCTGTATCCATACCCTGAATCACATGGGCGTGGTTATCACACTATAGCATCGCTTAAAAAGTAAGCAATGCAGCATACCTTAAAGACATGTTTCAAAGAATACCTTCTGATAAATCCCATCACCACGAGAAACTGGCAAGACTCTGACAGATCGAAAAAATGCTGAAGTTGCAGGATTTGCAAAACATCGATCAGTGGCACACAGTGTCCACCTCAAGTTCTGAGCATCCAGAAGAACATGTCGAGGAAGCAATGCAGCAAGAACAAGCGGGTCATCCATAGAAGCAACGTGATTGCTCACCTGAAACGGAATAAATAAAGAAAACATCATAATTCAACAATGGTAAACCTGAAAGTGGAGGAGCAAATGGTGGTTAATCCAATAGATTAAAATACACTCAGTTCTAGATCCATAGAATAGGATCATGGGGCTCTACCGTTATTAGAGGCTGGCCTTTGGGTCTGTGTAGCACAGCGTCATGTAATTTTTCTACACCATAAACCTATCACACCCAAAAATCCAAATTATTCGTGCAGCCCTCAAAAGTAGAAAAAAAGGTATTGGGTTATATCAATTCCGCACAAGTTCGCATACCTGGATATGATTTAATCCATTCATAAACACATGACAAACATTGCCAATCACCGGAACAGCCACAGCTTGAAGCATGCGAAGAAGGACTGATTTTTCTTCAGCATTGAATTCCTTACCCACTGCAGGCAGAAAAAAACAAAAATCATCCTTTTATTATGGTTCTGACCAAAAACTCACAGCAATTCCCACATGATTAGATTATAGATAGAAGTGCAAACTAAACAAACGCTATCTAAACACTTACAAATTCTTCAAACCCAAAAATTTCAGTTCATTAACGAAAAGAAACAAAAGCAACATTGGTTACTAACAAAATGCGAGCCAATAGGAACCCAAAATCGTCATCAAGCTGAAATTCTTAATTTCTTACTAATTTGAAACATAACTAGTCTTGCCTCTCATGCTAGCTAGCTAACTGATTTTTAACTGCAAGAGACTAGGAGAGAGAATTACATTCATCAAACAATTTTAACTAAATAAAACTAAAAATTTGAGATTTCTTCACCGCCTAAACTAACTCCACCGCCAAGAATCTTATTAAAAAAAGTTGCAATTTTTAAGAAATACGGAAAAAATTAATGACAGAAACACATCAATCAAATTTCAATCGGCTCCGAATATAATAATGGAAACAAACACACACACAAAAATTTAATTGAGAAAATACCTCGTTTGCGATAAAAAACAGTGGAAGAAGGGAGAGAGTCTCTGCGGAAGTCACGAAAGCGCTGAAGCCAGCGCTGGAATGTGGAGGAGAAGTAACCGTCGTCTGTAAAAATGGGGTGGAGCCTGAGCCGGCGGTCCACCCCCAACTTGAACCGCT